GCTTCTTGCCATGGAAGCACAGTTCCAATTGTAACTGTGTGACCACCATGGTCAAACACCGTTACCCCATGCTCAGCAGGGCAAATGAGGGGAGATCAGGACATCACACAGATTCTCCTCGTAGCTCTCTTCAAAGCCAAAATAAATGTTTTTCCTCAAACTACAGCAATGATGCCAAATTGCTTCAGCTTCTTCTCCTCCTAGGAGCACGTCCAGGGGGTTGCAGCAAGGGTGTCCTCCAAAATTGATTCAGCTGGGTTGAGCCCAGGTGGCAGCAAACTTGATGAACACTGTTTCTCCGATTTATATTCACAGGAGAATTAAAAAAGAGAAAAGAAGATTGCAGAGATGTCTGTGGACGAATAGAAATGAGCCCACACCCCATTCAGCTCCCACCACCTCGGTAAAAACCAGTAAGACCTGCTTAGGCTACAGCACTGAAAGAGTGACAGGTCATGCAAGAATCCCTCAGCGTGCTCAAATGCACTAGGAGTCCTTTCTCCTCAGGTTACATTTCTTGTCAGACTGCAGCTCGCCTTTGATACGATGGTTTAATATGTAAGCCTGCTGTGAACCAGCCCCAGTTCCCTCACTCCCACCATAATCAACATTGAACTTTTCTCACTATCCCAAGGCTGATCAGATGGGGAGTTAACAACGAGGATCCGTTTTGCTCTCCTTCAAGGTGAAGAAAGGTCAAGGAAAACATGAGTCCACATTTCTCGTAGCTGACGATATTATGCAGGTCTCATCCCCAGGCAAGTGACACAGCTAAGCCAGCTGGTGAGAGAAGATCTGCCCTTCTAGACCCTGGCCCCTCTTGTCCCCTCCATGGTCTCCACAGGATGTAACGATCAGTCTATGCCAGCTATACCTCTGAATGACTGGCTTTCAGGGGAAAAAAAAAATCCAGAGAACCAGCCAATAAGCTTCAAAAGCGAACACCCTTATCTGCTGTCATCACTTCAACTTTCTGCTAGTTTGCAAAGGCCAAGATAAGAGTCATAGCCAAAGCTTATTTAAGGTAGCTCCGTAATCTCACTGCACCGCAGGCAAGGGAGAGAAAGGGTGAATGTTTCCATGGCATGCTGTGAGCTGGTCTCCCTTCCTGTCCTAAAGTGAAACACACTGCTTCTGCATATTCCCAGGAAGATACTGTCTTTTGAGAGAGAGGGTCTCATCCCAGAGTCTCCATGGTCAAACAGTTGACACAAGGTCAAGAACCAGAGCTGCATCATGGCCGCATACGGCCAAAGAATTTGTTTATCCTGCTCAGTAAAGACTTCAGCTCAAAGTCACGCATGTGGGGAAGGGAGTCAGGGTATTCTGTTGGGCCTCCTTTCTAATAATTAATTTGGGCAAACTAGTTGCATCAAAGGGTCAAAAAGCTTTGAAAGCACAATTTCGGATGGAAGGGTATAGGATTGGTTTAGTACATTGGCAGCTGAGCTTTGTCACTATTCAACCACAGGTTCAAATCCAGCCATGCCACAGTGAAGGCAAATGACCGAAAGGAAGTATTCAGTGGTAGGCACAAAAGACGAAGGTTTCTCAGTCCAGTTCAAATTCAGTGTTTAAATTGCACTGCCTTACTTATACTTCTTGTACTAACCAACCCCTTCCCTGACACTCTCTGCAGAGACACGTAAAGATTAACAGCTTGTGGACTCTGTCCTTGTGACAGGGTCCCCAGCTTGGAGCTAAATGCATTGGTAGAGTTGGACAGAACAAGACATGCTCTTGGCTTGCAGATAAATAGGGAACTGAGGAAGCTCTCAGCCATTTGGACAGTGTGTTTCTTTTGGTCTGAATTCACACAAACCAAAGCACGAAGCCTAATGGGCTGAGATGGCACAGCAGATCTCTCTGCAAGAGTGGCAGGGCGGAAAACAAGCCCTAGCTACAGATGGGAGACTGTCCTTTGCTGCTTTCTAGGTTGGTATTTTGGTATAGCCCCTGAAGCCTTCTCTACTCCCAGCTGGCTTGGCATGTATGTGCCTCTTCCACCTAACAATGGTCTAACAATAGAGTACATTTCAGCTAATCTAACTGGAAAAAAAGCCCACAATAGCTGGAAGAGGGAGGTTAATAAAAATCCTGTAATAACCACACATGACCCAACCTCTTTATACCAGCCAGGAACTGAGAAGTGACAGCATGAAGGCCCAGCTCTGGTTAGAAACTCACAGAGGCTTCAAGGAAATAAAGGACAATTTCTGGACAACTAACACAGGTTTTCAAAGGTCTGGTAATGTGCATACCTAGTCCCATATGCCACTGTATCTGCCAACTGGATTGCTAACAGGTACAAACAGTAATGTAAAGGAAATATTAATGAGCCTGAATGACTCAGATGCCATTAAAAAACACAGCAGCAACACATCCTGTACTAAAGCGTCAGCCTGGCAGGGTTTATGAGTTTATCACGCTTCGTCTCTCTCTGTTTCTAAGCAAGCACCATAAAAAGCCTTCAACCGATGAATCAGTATGCAGAGAAGGTAATTGGTTCAGGTGACCTGCGTGTGTACGCTAGATCATTTTATTATGTATTTAAGGAACCTCTGATAAAGATCCACACGATATTAGTCAGCAAAGAGATGCATCATATTTTCCTGGAAAAGAGATATACCATATTTGTCCACAAAGAGATGCATCACATTTGAGAAGAAAGAGAGTGTTGCTGAACAGTGGGAAAAAGATTATAACTAATTGGGAAGAAACAACACTACCTCATGGCTGTACCACTTGTCATGGCAAAACTTGGGAGGTACACTGCTGCCCTTCTCTGCACACGAATATACCATATCCCTATGCTTCAAACTAGTCAACAGGTAGCATTACCCTGGAGAAGCCAAAGCAGAAACAGCCTCTTCGATGGGCCCTGACCCTGATCTAGGGCCTCCATCCACTGCCACAGCACAAAAAAAGAACAGAAGGATAACAAGTGCCAAAGAGCACAGCTTCAGACGTACCTTATCATCCCTGCAAAGAAGGGACAGGGATACCAGTGAATGTTCTTACAACATAGAATCATAATGGTTGGAAGAGACCTCAAAGATCATCAAGTCCAACCGTACACCCGATGCCACCATGCCCGCTAAACCCACTAAACCATGTCTTGAAGTGCCACATCTAAACATTTTTTGAACACCTCCAGGGATGGTGAGTCCACCACCTCCCTGGGGAGCCCGTTAGCAACAGTGCTAGCAACAGACAGCGTTATTCTGACACCTTAGACTCATGGGAGGACCATGTTTTTCAGGGACCACATATTCCAGTTGTTGGAGTACTATCACTCCTGACTCTGCTAGCTCTCTGTCAGACTAGGCTGTGTATTTTTGTTTCTTACCTTGCTCCTCTCTTCCTCACTTTAGGAAAGGGCAGAGAAAAGAGCTTATGTGGAAACACTGAAAGCAAGCAGATGGAGAGCGTCCAGGGCCCAAAGCCTCGCAGCATCTCCTGTTGCCCCACAGAAACAACAGCAACAGGGCCAGAGGCCAGGATTGTCTTAGAAAGGAAGGGTAGCTCCTAGCAGCAGTGAGTCCACAATGCGATGTGCTCAAGTAGTTCGTGATCATGCATGAAAAGTCACTGTGCTAACAACCAAAGGCCTGCTTTTCCTATGAGATATTGCATGGATTGATTTCCCAGGCTCTAAGCACTAACATGAAAGTTCTTTGTGAGCTCTTTATTTGCATAAAACAGAAACCAGACTTTTGCGGTTTCAGAGGAGTATGAGGTTTGCTTCAGATTCTGTTTATATTAGTGGTCCTGTCCTTCCTAGAAAAAAATACTTTAAGGGAAGAACACTGAAAGAAAAACACTCCTCCAACATCATGAACCCATCTGCAACCTATTTCACACTTTAATATCTCACAATAGGAGGTAACAATGTTTAATGTCAGAGATCCATAGGAACAGGCAGGTCTGAAGAGTCTGAAAAATAAAAATGAAAGCGGCTGCTCAAGGTTCAAGACTCTCAGAATGCTGTCTAAGGAGACAAAAAGTAGTTTGTCACTGCGTTCTGGATTTGCCTTGGTGTTTTCTGATAGGACTAGACATTCTGCTGGGTACTGAGTACATACTAAGGTCAATTAAGGATATTGTGTCACTCTTAAGCCTTTATAGCTCTTCTAGCTATAAAGATCAGCCCAGGCCTAATGGCAAAAGAACACTGCTCCAGATTTGTGAAAGTAGTTTCAGTGTCACTGTATCAGATAGGTCAGGGCAGTCTGACCCAACAGCTAGTTAGTCAAATAACAAGGGTTAACAAAAAGGAACAGAGCAGTAAGAGTCACCTAGAGTGCAAAGGCATAGCAATTTAATCTGGAAATTAACTGCAGCTTTAAACTGTCTAAAATCAGGTGCTCACCACTACCTTAAAACTCTGTACTGCTGCACCATAGGAGGAAAGGTCTGGTACTGACTGTCACAGAATCAGAAATCAGACTAGAAGAAGACTCAAGGATTTGAGTCATCTGCTATTAGGCTTTAGAAAACAACGTGGTGTGCAGGCTGGACTAGGCTGGTTGTACAAAGCGTTAACAGTGCTCGGTTGGCTGGCTCTTTGTGCGATGAAGCAGAGGATGCAGGACTATCCAGAGCTACATCCAGGAGTGATACAACTGTATCTGCTGCAGGAAAGTCAGGAAATGTCACCACAGCCCTTGAGGCTGCAGTTGCGCCACCCTCTTCCTAGGACCAAGGTAAGATCTTCGCACAGGACTGCACCTTCCTACATAGATGCCTCAGATCCTTCGCGTGCTCTTTAGTACCATATTGTCTTTTATATTCAGATGAGAAGAAGGGCCAGAAAAACATCATATGCTGTCTCCTGAGCTGCACAAAAATATATAATAGCTGACTTTGAAGGACATAGCATGTGAAACTGCTGCAAATCCTCCTTTACTTTGCTATCCCCAGAGCAAATCCCCTGCCTCTGAAGAAAAGCCCTCCACCTATCCCATGCCAGGTACATCAGATCAGTTTCTTTCCCTTACCTGAACATAATCCAAAACCATGCCTGCCAAGACCATGCCAAGCCCAGCTAGGAGGTATGGCAGGAGCACTTGCAGGCAAATTGCAACGGCTGACTCTTCCCGCGACTTTGCCATGGCTGCTTTCTCCTCAGCCAACAGCTTCTGCTGTGCGTGTAGAGAGACATCCTCTGCCTCCTGGCTGCCAAGACGGCTCTCTCTGTGTTTACCCTTGCTCTTTCCTTTGTGCCTGGATCGTTCTCCATTCCTAGTCCTGCCCTCTTTTCTCCTCTGCCGAACTTCCTCACCTTTCATGGTGACTTTCTTGAATCACAGAGTTTTTCTGAAAAACAAAGTCAGAAACAGTGAGATAACAAAAAGAGGCATCAAATGGGTCAGAGACAGGAAACCTTTCAGTATTTTGTCCACTCTGCTAACCTGAAGGCAAACTACCACCTACTCCCAAAACCCTAGATGTTCTGCTGACCCAAATACTAGTACTTAATTTATCTTCAACTTTGTATACAGTCAAACCAACTTCCCTTTCTGTAATTACACCTCTTCCTAGGCCTGTGTTCATGCTGGAGTGCTTGCTGCGCATCCTGGCTCTCACCCTGAGAATGCCTAGAAGGATGCAGAAGGTGCTGCACATAACCTGAATTCTGGACCCACTAGGTCTCACACTGGGAGTCATGCAAACTGAGGAGCCCAGCAGAATCCAACCCTTTTTAGAGTCTGACCTCTAGCCATGAAATGGGAGCAGTTCACATCCTAGCATCCTGCAGTCCAGCAAACGACTAGCATACCTCGCATAGTACAGGTACGTACTATGTGTAGTATCTAGCACAGTACAGCTACCTGTCCACCATTCCTCAATAACAAGATAATTTTTTGATCTTCTTTCTGATCTGGATGCTTTCTCTTCCTTTTGTGCCTTAGCTAACACACGTGCACTATGTGACTCATCTATCTACACAGAAGCTGCTGTGACCCCATAGCATCTTATAAGAAAAAATAAACATGGAAAATTGTTACCAGTTACCCTTTTTCTGCCATCATGTCTCATTTCTTGATATAACTGTCATTTATGCTGCCTGCCCCACGCAGTGCCCCAAATCCTTCCCCATCACCTCCTGCCAGCACTCATCCGGGTTAACCGCTGGCAGATGTTCTCTGATGCTCTCATTTTCAGGATAGGCCCATAACGCCCTAAGCTCCTGCACTACCCCAAGTAAGATCAATCCTCTTGCCCAGCATCT